ACTTCTTATTTTATTTCATTGCTTGCAGATTAACCATGAAAATCTAAAGCATCAAGTGCAAGCAAATAGGTGGCAAACATGACTTTGATTTCACACGTAGACGCTATGTTTACATATGTACATGTTGTCCATATTTTGCTTTGCTTCATTTATTAGGAGTTCATCCCTAGCTAGCCTATAACTTTGACTGGAAACTTATGAATCTGAAATTTTTGATTTAAGGACATTAAATGTTATCAGCATGTATTTAGAAATGAAATTACATGTCATATTTTCATATTTTTTTAATAGTTTTTGTTTTCCCATTTCATCTTCATTGTTGTTTTAAAGGAAAAATAGTAAAAATTGTATGAGAGATTACTCACATATGTGCAAATTGGATGGAATATAGGCTGCTAAATTCTTCAACGAACATGGCAACATGACAATATGGCATGCATAAGGATAACATCATTATCACAGTAAACGAAAATGAAATCCACCATTTTTAATCCCTTATTGACTAAGGAACCCAACTCTTGATTTTAAGGAACCTAACTCTTGATTTTCTTCCTGTACAATATATATGGGTAAAATGATACTGATGGATATAAGAGAATTCTAACTACAATGATTAACTTAATTTTTTTTTTGTTAATCAATAATTACCAAAGTGATAATAATAACCAAGCATAGTTTAGTTAGTGAAACCAAATTCTATCAGCCAAACAAAAAAAAATGACACCATAATAATAAGCAAGCAAAAAAAATATGGAACGGTTAATGTGCAATTCATAAAATTCATTTTTTCTGTACAATGGGCGGGTGCAAAAAGACTAAGTTAGATGATTGAAAATAATAAGAAATTGTTGTGACGGACACAGACCTACAATTTATAAAATAATCACTTAAGAAATATAAGAATATCTAAAACAACACATCTTTGAGATGCGTAGCGTCCGTGATGCAAAAATGCATCTCGCACACACGTTAGTGTCTGCGAAGAGGCTAGTATGTATATATATAAAAGAGAGATTTTTGTGACGGTCACAAAAAGTGGTACACTACGTGTCTCTATATAAATGGTGAATTATGTGTGTTAAAAAATTAATTACTTAAAAATTAAATTTTTTCACTACTTATATAAAAACACGTAGTATATCATTCGTTTTTCTGTCATAATTAAAAATTTCTTGAAGTAGCGGCTTCTCAATAGTCAATACTTCCAGCTAACGGTCTTGACCGTCCAAAACCGTGACGAGCCATTTGCGAAACGCAAAAGCAAAAGATGAAACGAACCAATAGCCAATTAGCCATCCACATCAGTCCGGGTCCCACCCACGTTCCAATTCAATTCGACGAACTATTTAGCCCTTATGATTTAACGGGACCGTCACAAAGCCGTCACGGCCCCATCCTACACTCATCACGGCTCAGCCGTTCCGTTAATCAACCTCGTGTTTCTCTCTCACTCCGCCCCAACGTCCCACCCCGCCATCTCTAACGTCGTCGTTCCGCCAACCCCTCTAACCCTAACGTCGCTCCTCTAATGGCCTCCTGTGACGACGACTTCTCTCTCCTCGGTGACGACTCTAACCCTAACCATCATCTCCCTCACGCGCCAACCTCCCACCACATCCACCAGCCCTACGAGCCTCCTCACCGCTTCCCGACGCGAACTCCCCCAGTCCACGCGCCACCATCGCAGCCTGCACTCAAGGATAAGGTCAACGACGGAGAAGACCATGCCGACGACGGAGACGACTACGAAAATGCAGCCGCTGCCGCGTTCTGCTCGAATCCGTTCGATAGAGGCACCGATCAGACCGCCATCGTCACCGGCGCGGGCGAGAAGAGAAAGGACCACTCCGATGAGCACAGAGACGGCGGCGGCGGGGGAGGGGCTCCGTACAGTTACAAGAAATCGAAAGCCTTGGCGTCTGCGAGCGGAGATTACAGGAAGGACCGAGAGGAGTGGAGCGACACGGCGATATTGTGCCTCCTGGATGCCTACCTGGACAAGCTCACGCAGCTGAATCGGGGAAATCTGAGAGGCAGAGATTGGGAGGAGGTGGCGGCGATCGTGAGCGAGAAGTGTGAGAGGCAGAGGAAGAGCATCGAGCAGTGCAAGAACAAGGTCGATAACTTGAAGAAGAGGTACAAGCTTGAGAGGCACAGGATGAGCAGCGGCGGCGTTTCGGCGAGTCACTGGCCTTGGTTCCAGAAGATGGAGCAGATCGTCGGCAATTCAGTGGCGGCAAAGGCCTCCTCCGATGACGATAAAGGTGTTTCTTCTTCGGGTAACACACCACGGCAATCGAAGAGGTTTGGATTCATGTGCTGCATTTTTGTTAGATTATTGCTGCAATTGGTTGCTCAATTGCTAGTGTTGTGTTGTTTTTGAGCAGATATGGAATGGTGGTGTCGAGTCCTGTAGGTCAGATGAACAAGGTGAAATCAGCTCCGACTATCAAATGGCGGAGAGTGGTCTTCAAAATCAGTGGTGCTGCTCTTGCTGGTGCTGCTCCAAACAATGTCGACTCAAAGGTTCGGCCATCTATGCAAATCCATTGATTTATATCATTCAATTTCTGATCATCTTAGCCTGTGAATAGTATTTGGCTGAATGTGTTTGCTTCTTGCGAGCAAGTTTCATTGCGTGTTTTGTTGTTGGGCAGCTGGCAATGCTGATTGCGAGGGAGGTTGCGTTGGCATGTCGCAATGGCGTGGAGGTATGCGTTGATATTTATATGGTCGTCTGTTGACTGTAGTAATGTGTTTTTAGCTGTCGGTTTTGGTTTGATCTGCAACATTTGGTTTTGTTTCTTGCTGGGTGTAAAAGGTGGCAATTGTTGTTGGAGGTCGCAACTTCTTTTGTGGAGATGCATGGGTGACGGCGACAGGGTTAGATAGAAGTACTGCGTACCAGATTGGGTAAATATCATTGCTGATCTTGCTATATAACCTCATCTTTGCATTTGTGAATCATACCGCCTTTTACATAGGATTTGTGGTATCTGCAACAGCTTAAATAGAACTACCGGATACAACTACAAACTGGGTATATATGCCTTGAATACTGACATGATCATTGCATTTCCGGTGGAAGCATGTCCAATATAGATTGGCCCTCATCTTATGTTTCTTATATTCTAAAATGATTTTTTTTTTTGTCGGCCTTGTTCGGGGCTGTAAACTAGATGTACAAAATAGCGATCCTTTGAAACAGTACTAAATTTCCTGAAATTGTTTGATGGGATCTGCTTCCTCATTTTCTTGTTCGTAAAGGACTAGAATAAATCTTTGGATCCATATGATAAGAGCAACTGAAAATGCAATATCAAATGACCATTTTTTTGTTTTAGTTTAGAGCCCAACTCATTGTTATCATGAATAAGATGAGTGACCTCTTAGTGAAGACCCATTAATCTCAACTGTTTTATGTGAACGCCATGCATGTTCCACTAAAAGTTCTAGATACAACTCTTTTTTTTTTATATCCGCTGTGATTGTAGAAGCTTGGGCCTCTCTGCTCTATCTCCACTTTCTGATGGTTTTGTTAATTATAAATTGCTGGATAATCCGATAATGTATTTACAATACTCATACGAGGTGACTGTGATGTTTACCAGAATGATGGCCACTGTAATGAATTCCGTATTGCTCCAGTCAGCATTGGAGAAGATGGGAGTCCAGACACGTGTTCAAACTGCATTTTCAATGCATGAGGTTGCTGAACCATACAACAGGCAGCGGGCCATCCGGCATCTTGAAAAAGGCAGAGTTGTAATTTTTGCTGGGATTGGTGCTGGCACGGGAAATCCCATCTTTTCCACCGACACAGCTGCAGCATTACAAGCTTTGGAGAGTATGGTTCTGCGATCATTAACACTTCCTTTAAACGTTTTACATTCTGTGAAATCACCCAGAACTGTTCTACTTTTGCTTACACGCACACACAATACATGCATGGTCTCCACCTGCATCTTTTGGACTTTATACAAAATTTTGTGACACTCGTAAGTTCTCAGTTAATGCAGAGGCAGTACTCAAGGGTACCAATGTAGATGGTGTCTATGACTGCAACTCTCAAGACAATAATTTTACATTTGAGCACATCTCTTTTAGGGAGTTGGTCACAAGAGGCGCCACCTCCATGGACTCGATGGCCCTGAACTTCTGCGAAGAACACAGGTTTCCTGGTAAGTGTATTTTGGTGTTCTTGCATTTCTGTTAGGTTGTGAACAATAGTCGGGAAATTGAGTCATTATATTTTGGTCAACATGTAACAAGACTTGCTCTCGGAATCTGTCTCATCAAATGAATTGGATGGTGCCTTTTATTCTGTACATGGGATTGAACTTCAATAGTAATCAATTTGCATTTTTATGTGCAGTTGTGGTCTTTAATCTGTTAGAGCCGGGAAATATATCGAAGGCGCTATGCGGAGAACAAGTTGGTACCCTGATAGATCAAACTGGAAGGATTAGCTAATATTTATAGAACTCTGAGCTGTTGTATTACTAGGTCTACTTACCTCAGATAACTGTCAAGTTAATTTCAACAGACCCCATTTAGAAAAATCGGTGGCTTTTACAGCTCTGATCGCTGAGACTTGGCTGCATATCCTCGCATATATCATTTGCCACCCTGATTCATGAGAAGGTAGAGTAAAGCTTATAACTGGTGTCTAAGTTATGCATGTTAATGGCGGTGCCAGTGTCTTTTGTGTTGTTTTGTAAATGGTATCATTACTTGGACGAAGATCGTTGATGCAGACGACTATTAACATTTTTACTGGTTAGTTTGTATTAATAGAGGTGTGAATAGAAAAATATGGTTTGGAGTCACGACAGAGTGAAATTGTTGTTACATTTCTGTCTAAAGTCGTATTGAATCTTTTGAAAGCATCTCGGAACTTCCTGCATTTGCTTTATATTGCTAAATAATCACTTTCTATCAACTTTTGAATGCATGAAAATCTTACTTGTGAGATTCTGTGTTCACTTGTAGAGTTAAAATTGAGTAATACTAGTTAATGTGATCGATCATTCACGTCCCAAGGCACAGGTGCAGGTCTACAGATTGAAAGCATTCCCGAGACCATAACTACACAAAAATAAGGGTTGAGAATAAGCAAAAGTGGCAGCAGAGAGATTCTCAGCGAGAGAATGCACATGAAAATCGAGGATGATGACGATGCAGAAACAAGGGAACGGTGTTGTCAATCAGACCAGCCCGTCTTCGGTGGTGGCGAGAGAAGGCGAAAGTGAATTGCGGGAATCATCGTAGTCTTCTCCGAGAGGAGATCTCTCGACTCGGATGTCCTCAATCATCTTAGTTACTTCAACCATTGTAGGCCTCTTTTCAGGCTGAGGCACAACACAAGCCAATCCCACATGGAGCATTGCCACAAGCTCCTCCTCAATGTTCTTGTACCTCAGAAGTTCTTGATCAAACACCTCCCCAGTCCACTCCTCCTTCACCACGGACCTCACCCATTTCGGAAGGTCCACCGCCTCCTCCTCCTCTTCCACACGGGGACGGGCCGGAGAAGGGTACTGGGACGGAGCTCTCCCCGTTAGAACCTCCAGCAGCAAGACTCCAAAGCTGTACACATCCGCCGTCTGAGATAGTCTCTTGACCTCCGCCTGCTCGGGAGCTCGGTATCCTCCCAATCTTGCGATGGCGTGAACCGGGTTGAGAAGCAGAGACAGGCCGAAGTCGGAAATGCAAGCGACGCCATTCTTGTCCAGAAGGACGTTGGAAGATTTGACATTGCCATGCGGTACTTTTGCAGAGCTGAACACCTCATGAATCCTGGCAAGCCCACGAGCCGCACCCAACACCAAGCTGATCCTTGTAGTCCAATCCAATGGAATTCTACCCGGACCCCGATTCCCTAAATTACATCCAAAAAAATAAGATCATCAACAATCAAACACAAATGCCCTTTTTATGACGTCATGTGTATGAAATAAGGACATGTGGATAAAAATTTACACATCTTTATTTCATTTGACACAGAATGCCATCGTGACGATGTATTCGTATTATGTAAGTCATTCTCAACTGGAATTTGCACAGTCGTCGAGAATCAATATTCAGGGATGTAAAGAGAGGATTTAGTGTGTTTAAATAAAATAGATGAATATGCACAAATAAAACTAGTTGTGAACTTCTAATAAGACATTAAACTATGAAATATTACACAAACAATAAGTTATATATACACACACACCACGATTTAGTTCTCATTTTATTTTCTGTTTAGTTGGCATCAAGTTCTACTATTATTTCAATGATAAATATTTACTTGTAACATTTTAAAATTATATAATTAAAAATTATTTAACCTTTTTCATTATATCTATTTAGTGTTTAAAATATTATATATAGTATATTTAATTAATTTGTACCCATTTTTTCATAGCAAAACTAATGAAAGGGCTTGAAAACTTTAACTTTTAATGGTAAGGAAAAAATAAAGGGTAAAGTGAATAGTATCATGTTTGACTTTTCACTGTAAAAATGTGATTTTTCGTTAAATGAACAATATAGTAGGCTTTTCGTTAAAACTCCCTTTTTTCATTTGTAACCATCTTGTTTAATTTGTAACTATATTTTTTAGTCTATACCAATTTCCCTTTTAACTTTTATTTGTACCCATAATTTTTTTAATCTTTTATTTGTACCCATTCATATGTTCATAATGTACATTTTTCAAATGTACCACATTGCTATAGGTTAAATGTACCCTTTTTTGTGTGTGTAAAATGTACGCCATTTTCTAATGTAAAATCTATTCACTTTTATTCTCTATAATGTATCTACGGTTTGTAGTAAAATGTACTCTTTCTTAATTTACAATGCATCCATATTTAAAAATAAGAACAAAACATTTTATTTAAAAAATAATAAAAAAATCTAATCAAAGTATTCAAATTAATAAGGTTTCATTTTTTTTAACGATATTATCGAGATTAAGGGGGTGGGAGAGTGGGCTAAGCCTTACAATAGACTAGCAACAATGTGGTTCAAATTCGCCTTTGGCAAGAATCGAACCTAAAACATCTCAGTTATAAGTGAAAATGAATACCACTAGTAGTACTAAGTTGCAAGTTTCGTTAAATTTGAGAAAAAAAAAATTAAAATCTCTATTTTGTAATACTCTTTGCATGATTTTAAAGAGAAATTATTCATTTTACCATTAAATTTTTTAATTAATACTGAAATTTAACATTTCGTCCTACAATCAAAGTATTCAAATTAATAAAGTTTCAGTCTAAGATTTTTGTCAACCAGGAACCAGAACCAAAGTTTCCTGTTTTTAAATCTCAATTAAACTTATCAGTTTTTAAGTATCATGTTAATATCTGATCGCTATGTCATCAATCTAGAATCGTTATGTCGTGGTCGATATTTAATCTTGATTAGTTTATCAATTAATATTTGATTTATGAAAATTTCAGCAATTTCCGAAAGAGTCCTTTTTCAGAATTTTGTACCAAAGCCCTAAAAATGCAACAAAGTATTGAAAATATGAAAAAAGCAGTAATAATATTACCATGCAGAAGTGAGTGCAAGCTTCCATTAGGGAGATAATCATAGACAAGAAGCTTCTCCTCCTTGGCATAGTAATAAGCACTCAGCCTCACCACATTGGGATGCTTCACCTTCCCAATCACATCCATGTACTGCTCAAACTCCTTTCTCTCGCACGGGTTCGCGTCCTTGAGCCGCTTCACCGCCATTGTGCTCCCGTCGTCCAGTACCGCCTTGTACACAGTCCCCAGGCTTCCTTTCCCCAACATCTCCGCCGATGCCCGCAGCAAATCCTCCAGCTCAAACTGCTTCCTCCGGTCAAAAAACACCAGTTTGCTTCTGTCGGTGGCGTTTGTCCCGTCGCTGTCCCCGCCGCCCCCACTGTTGGCGTACACCCTCTTCTGATCGGCTCCGTAGCTGCTCCCGCTCCTTCTCTTCCCGCTCTCGCTCCCAGCCATCGAGCTAGAGCCGCACCGGTCTCTCGCGCAGTAGTGGACCATAAGGAACGACACAACCACCAGCATCGCCACGCAAATCACGATCACTATCGCGATGATCACGCCGGTGCTCAGCCCCTTCCTCGGTTGCTTTTTGCTCGGCTCGTTTGGGGTCGTCGTCTGAGGCAATTGGCTGGGATTAGACAGCACCGTTTCGGATGAAGCCGCTGAGGGCGGATCGCTAGTGCCTGTGAATGAACAAGCCGGCAAGGGGCTCAGTCCGCACAGCCCTTCGTTCCCGGAAAAGCTTTTGACGCCGAACTTCTTCAGCAGACCCTCCGGCAGCCGTCCGTACAATTCGTTGTTAGTGAAATTGAGCTCCTTGAGGTTGGCAAGGGAGGCGGAGAGGTCGGGGACTTCACCGGAGATGGCGTTGTTCTGGAGCCTGAGCGTGAGGAGCCGGGTGAGGCGGGTGAGATTGTCCGGAAAGGGTCCCCGGAGGTTGTTGTCGGCGAGGTCGAGACGGAGGAGTCGCCGGAGGGAGGATATTTCCGACGGAATTTCGCCAGAGAGGTCGTTGCCGGCGAGGTAGAGGAGCTTGAGCTTGGTGCAGTTGACGAGAGGAGAAACGGTGCCGTTGAGGCGGTTGTTGTGGAGGTCGAGGAGGCGGAGCTGGTCAAGGGAAGCGAGGGAATCAAGTGGGCCCCGGAGGTTGAGGGAGGGGAGGGAGAGAGCGACGACGCGGGCTTCGTTGGTGGAGCATCGGACTCCGGTCCAGCAGAGGGTGCATGCATCGGAGCCGGTCCAGTTTGAGCGGAGGTAGGCGTGGGTGTCGGTCTGTAGGCGGAATTGGGTGAGGGCCCAGGTGTCATTAGGTGGCGGAGAAGAGAGTGAGGGGTGGTTGGAGGCGAAGAGAAGAAGAGAGAAAGTGAGGAAAGGCAGCGCATCGTTCTTCTTCATGAGTTTTTGCTTAGGCGGGAAGAGTAGGCAGGCACACAATAAGAAGTTTGTTTTGTATTTTTGAAAAAAATAAAGTATGCCTAAAGACTTAAGAGAGTGAGTGAGATTGAGACTCACCTCTTTCTATGACTTTTTTTTTAACAACCATATTATCTACACTAAAGAAAAGGAGGTGGATTTAGTCTCACAATAGGCTAGCAAACAAATTCGTTTCTGGCAATAATTGAACTTAAGACTCCTTATTTATAAGTGAAGAAGAATACCACTTGACCATAGTACTGAGTGACTCCTTACATTTGAATAGAGACATGGAGATCTAGAGAGAGTAAGTGGGGTGAGGAGAATGAAGTGGATTTGGTCTCACAATATACTAGCAAACAAATTCATTTTTGGCAATAATCGAATTTAAGACTCCTTATTTATAAGTGAAGAAAAATATCACTTGACTATAGGACTGACTCCTTAAATTTGAATAGAGACATGGAGATCTAGAGAGAGTAAGTGGGGTGGGGAAAAGATATGAACTTGTTTTCTTTTTTCTTTTTTATTTTGTTACATTGGTTATTTGATAATTGGGAGTGATATGATTAGGGAATATGGGTTCTTGAGAGAGAGAGAGAGAGAGATGGGAATAGGAGTAGTATGATTAAAGAGGGGAAAAGAGAGAAGGGGCGTGGTTGTGTGAATGATTGCCGTTCTCCACTCCTTCCATATGGAATGAGTAAAGGGAGCAGGGTGGCTTTTTCTTTTTCACCTTTTCACTTTTTCTAGACCAAATAGACCAAAGTTGAATGAGGAGGAGGACTCAAAAGCACCGCCATGGGCATGGCATGGCTTGGCATATCAACCAAATTTATTAGGAGATAATATATGACATTCATTTAGGTGAATATCAATTTGACACGTATGGAGAAATATTTCTATGTATCCTAAGTTATTTTTTGTACACAAAGAAGCAGGCAACACTCATTTACTACGTGCCACTTAAGGTCTTTGAGAGTCTGTTTGGTGGGTTGATAGGATATGTTGTGATCTATTGTTTGTTGTGTCTAAATATGAGATGGATAAAGTTGAATATGATGATAAATTTACAATAGAATGAGTTATTTAACCTATTCTAATACATGGACTTCAAATCTCATTTTACAAATCTCTGTCAATCTCTAAGGCTCAATTCCATTTAGTCCACCAAATGAGCTGCCATTTAGGGGTTGAGCAAGAGAGGAATAGTTGCTAGGGTTTTTATTTTTTTTATTTTTAGAAGATAGACTCTATGAAATTCCCTTTTCAGCCAAAATATTAAAAAGAAATTCTGAGCCAATATAAATATTAAAAAGAAACTCTGGACCACTACAATTCCAACTATACGACCCTCCATTTTTCTGAATTAAAATCACAACGAAATGTGCCGCTCGATTGCCTTCATGACGAACAATTCACGAAACAATTCCCACATCCTTAGCAATAGCCAAAGATCATGAACTATACTTAGGGGTGTAATTTTTTCCCGAAAATCCCGAACTCGTCCCGAAATTTGACAGAAAAATGCCCGAACCGAATTTTTCAAAAAATTCGATACCTGAAACTAAACCGATCCCGAAAGTTTCGGTTTGGGATTTGGCCACATCTTTGAAAGTGTTCGGTAATCCCGAACCAAACCGAATATTATATATATATATTTATTTATTTTTAACTTATACTTAGAAATTACTTGGACCGTTGGATTGGTTAAGATCTAATCCAACTGTCTATTATGAGTTGGGTCTTCTGTATTCCTCTCACAGTCTCACTTCCTCATACTCTCTCTCATTCGCTCACTCTCACAGTCTCACTCTCTCGAAAAACTAGTTCGAAGTTCGAACGCTGCTCCGGGCTCCTGCCGCTCCTTATCGAGCCACGCTGCTCCTCGATACACTTCAACAACGCTCATCAGGCCACACACACAGAGACTTAGGAAGATGCGAATCCGACACCAATCGAGTCCCAAAATCCAGGTAAGGGTTTCTAATTTTCACTGGGTTTTTGTTCTTTAGGGTTTAGGGTCAAATTTCATGTTGATTAACTTGATTTTTGCGTATTTTGTCAAATGTGTGAGGGTATGAGGACTTTGGGTTTAGGATTAGGGTGGGTGCAGTCAAGGACGAAGCTAGAATTGTTTTTGACTGGGGGCGTCCTAAAACAACCAAGTAAAATAATGGGTGTTAAGTTGTTGAGGGTCAGGTACAATGAAAAATCTCTAAATTAAAAAGTTAAATTTTAAATTGTAATGCCACAAACGAATGGATGAAGTAAATTCATATAAAATACTTTGCAGAGTAATTTTTTTTTATCAAGTTATGATACTTCATCGGTTGAATCCAATCTATTTATGAAACCCCCAGTTCAATTGAGTTTGATTTAGGTTAGAAAACGTGGAATATTCGGAACCAAAATCAAAAATTTAATTGTTATTTTAATTGTCATCACAATTTTTTTCATCGCCCAAAAATCTGAGTGGGGGCGGATGCCCCCTTTGGGCCTTAGGTAGCTCCGCCCTTGGGTGCAATGCAAGACCTGCATGCCTTTGGGAGGGTGGGTGCACGAATTTGTGGGTTCATTCAAATTAATATTAGGGTGGGTGGGTGCACGAATTTGTAGAATAAAATTATAGGGGATGGGGAAATAGGACTTGCATGAATTGTAGGGGGTTTCGGATTAGGGTGGGTGCAATGCAGGATCTGCAGGCCTTTGGGAAGGTGGGTTCATTGGATTAGACTTTTATTGATCCACAGACAAAGGTGAGCTTGTTCGTTTATTTTTTGTTATCAACGTTGAGAAGTAATGGCCTTGACAATATTTGATTCTTGGAAGAATGGGAATTATGAAGGGCAATTATAGAACATGTTCAGGAATTGACACTTGCGCACAAACATATTTGTTAATGAATCATTCACCTATATGTGTTAGATTGTGATTTACATGTAAGAGTGCGCAAAAAGTCAGTCAATGTTCTTTCCCTTTTCATGATTTAGCATTGTAGTGTAGGTGTAGTCTGTTAGGGGTTGGATATAAAAATTGTTCAACTTTCTGCTTTGATATGGATTGGCATATGCTGTGAATAGAGGATGATGAAGATGAACCACTGCGTAATCAATTAGCTTATCCTTTCCGCTGTTTGCATCAAACCATGCTTCATTTTGTTTCAAGGGAGCATGGCTATGAAAGCACATGGAACTGTTTGCAATTCTCAATTTTAAGAAGCTTGATTTTGCATTAAGTATACAGTTTGCACACCGTTGATTGATCTTTTATTTTTTTTGGTAGTGCAGGCAATATCATTATTTGGAGCTCAAATTCTAGAGCTCATTGCAGCTCTGCTGCTTCTGCAGAGTACTGCCAAGCCACAATATAAGTTTGTGGATTTCTTCAAAGCTAACAAACTATCAAAACAAAGGAGTTGGTTGCATTAGCATTGCATTCGAGCAACTTGATTACAAATACAACTGACTCCACCCAATCCCGAAGTGACCTGAAAATCCCGAAACAGTTTTGGGAATGCCAAATTTCTGGAATTGAATAGTTTCGGTTCGGTTTTGGGATATAAAATCCCATCTAAAAATGTTTTGGTTTTGGATTCAGATTGGGGGTTTCGGTTTAGGATCCAGACCCGAACCAGTCTTAACTATACTTTCCAACTTCGCATCCACACTGACCTCATTTCGTAGCATCCTAATTATCCCGCAAGCGTCGGACTTGATAATGATATTTCGTAGTCCCTCTCGTCTGCACGTCTCCATCGCTTATCGAATTCTGCCATCATGGCATTAGCTACCTGAAAATCCTCGACCGTCCCGACCCACCCTAACTGCAACCAAAATTCTAGCAAAATCGAGAACCCCCTTCTTTCTCTTCCCACGCCACGCGACTTCACAATTTACTTTCAAATAGCGAGTTAGATTGACTAATATACATACACACACACAAACACACACACACACACACACACACACACATATATATGTCCCATCAATCTAATTATCATGTCAAACCTTCGACCGAACTCTGTCAGAACTTCTAAGTTAGTTGAGTCTAAACCTGAATAATTAACTCACTTGAAGCATTCTATTTATTTTTACATAATGAAGTATTTACGATTAGAACAGATTGTCAAAATATAGTTTCTCATTATAACAAGATACATGCTAATAAACAGGTAGCTCGAAAATGGGTTGATTTTGCTGATTCAATTACAGGAAATGGTTTTAAACCAATTTTTTAACATATAAAAGGTAATGATACTACATTAGCTGATATCTTATCAAGATTAATTTGTTGAACATGAATGAAATATCGTGGACCATTATCCTCAAATAGCACAAGACCACAAGGCAGAAGAGCACATTTCAGTAGCATAATGATGCACCATCAGACTTCACCATTCAGTGGATTCCAAAATGGCATAAGCAGACCAGCATCACCACCAGTACCCACTTTCAACTTTAATGACAATATTGTGGAAGGAATCAGAAATCCAATTCTAAGGTATAGGTCAAGGGTACCATGACTTTCTAATAGGCAACAGGTTCTCTTAGATAATTTTTGGAATATCCAAATCAAACAGCCAAGCATGAGGTTAGGTCATAAAAAATTAATTAGAGCCTTAGAACAAGAGTTTGATAGCTTTAATTTTAATTTTCCTCAAAGCCAGCAACATATTCATTCTCTTGAGCACAAATTTCAAGCCATTTCTAGAGACCATGAGTCATTACTTGGTAAGTTTACCAAAATGAACCAAGAACTCCAATCTCTTAGAATGCAGCAGAAGGCAAGTGACACCTTGAAAAGAGAATTGAAAATAGGGTTGGAAACTGATCAGCATAAAAATAAAGGAAAAGAGGTTATTAAACCCATAGAACAAGAGGCTAGTGAGCCCATAAAAGAGATTAAGATTGAGCTCTTAGATGAAGACATTGAAATGGAGCAGCATTAAAATAATGAGCAGCATCAGCATCTGAGTGACAAAAAAAAACAAGAAAGATATGAAAGTTTTCTTAGGAATATATCTTTAGACTTAATAATAGATGATATCCTATTAGAAAAAATTTCAAAATCAAAATTAAGGATAATGCCATCAAATATGCAAAATGAAATCCTGAGTAGAGCATCACAGCCCATGAAAGAGTTACAATTACACTTACAATGTGTTTTGTATCAGTCCATCTTTAATCCAAAACTGGGGATAGATATTATTACAAAGATGTATCCACCATCTCTTTGTGATAGTACAGAAAGTTGTATTTGTAAACTAGAGGTTAGCATAGATGTGCCCAGGATTAACATGAAAGATTTTAGACCATGACATTTTAGTTATGAGCATCAGAAAAAGCATAACTTGGTAGAAGTTACCCTGGCCTTATTATTAGAGTTTGGCTATCTTGATAAAATATTCATTAACTACATTCCCCAACTAGAATCATTTCCTGAAAAACTTATAAAAGTAGTAGAAAATTATCTAGAAAAGTGGAAAGAAATTTGCATAAGTTTTATTAGTAGCCCTCTAGATTGGTATGTACATATGCATACGGAGAAAGCTAGGCACATAGCCATGATTAATGAAGAGTCCTTTACACTATCCCCTATCTCTCCGTACAGTTGGACTCCTTCATACAAAAGTATTCTAAAATTTCGAGGGATCCAAATGTTCACCTTAGATGAGTTTGAAGATTTTAGGTATGATATAGTATTAGTAGCAGAAGAAGAAGAAATGCATATTTATAGCAAGTCAAAAGCCCGTCATCAGCCATACTAGAAGCCTCAAAATTTCAAAGGAGAAACATAAGATATGTATTACAAGGTGAAAGAAGATAGAGAAAGAGATGCAGAGCTAGTAGAAGGCGATGAACAGTACTAGAATAATTTGACAGAAGAAGAGTTGCATAACATCAACATGATGGAAGCATAAAGAGCTGACAACAAATTAGCATAAATTGAATAGCATCATGTAAAATAATGTATTTCCAGACAGAAATATCAACATTATTGTGGACCCCGCTGTAACAATAAAATAATGGCATAAGAGTAAATAAAGAAAAGAGTTTTATCCATTATGGACTTTTCATACACAAAATGTCATTTTGATTAAGAATGAATAGTGTCAAGCCCTTTTTGTTAAAACTCCCTTATTTTTAAATAGAAAAACATTCTGTGGGTATTTGAATATCAAAATTTGAATTCTACTAAATGGTTACTAAACTTGTTTATCGATAGGATAAATTCTCTCTTTCAACTAGCACATAGTTTCAATGGTGATATATTATCTAATAAATAATTGTTACGTGTTCAAAAATTATTCAGACCACTTAATAAATATTTGCTATGTAGAGTCACCGATTGCATAAGAGTATCTGTCTACCAATATAAATAAAGAAATAAACGATCCAAAGCTTATTTTGCATCATCATCGTCATCATGGATCATCATATATACTACAACATTCTCTTTACACTGCATATCTTTTTTCTGTAACATTCTCTTTAAACTACTATTTTTTCTTTGTTCTTTTAGTTCGGGCTTTTATTTTGTTTTGTAGAAAATTCAGATTAAAAAGTATGTGATGACTGATAACTTCTATGGTAGAGCGCACTTATAATTTTGAATCGAGAGTTCAATTTCGCCTTCCTCTTGACCTTATTTGGACCCGAAACAAAGAGGGTTGTGATTTTGACACCACATTTAGCCATATGCCCTCCAAATTGAAAAGAAAAAACAATATTCTTATTTTTTTCAGAGAGAGAGAGAGAGAGAGAGAGAGAGAGAGGCCTAGAGAAGTCATGCTTCCATGTCCCAATTGATGGAAAACTAGAGGGAACAAAGCAAAGACATTACTCTCTGTAAGTTTGCATAATGACCATGTTCCTTTCTATTTGGTACAAATAAGGACAAGGATTTATATGGCAAAGATACACCATCACAATAGCATCCCATGCTAATAATACAATGTTATGTATTATTTTTTCTTCACATATTCTTGTATCATTGACACAAGATGCCACCATGACGATGTACTTGTGGCATACAAGTTGCTCTTCCAAAATACATAATGTGTTCTTTGTCAACTGTCTCAGGGTTGGTAGGGACATCATCAGTTTAATTGTTGCTTGCTTGTTTATTGCCCTGAGTTTTGAAGCATTAAGTGTTTGGACCAAACCAACAAATTAAATTTAGACTAACCTGGATATGTTAATCAAAAAGCAGATTAGACAAAGGTACTAGATTAAGGCCTAATCTGTAATTCTTTCAGGTTCTTCTTGATGAAAAGCTGCCTACAAGTTGTTGATCCATGAAATCAAGTCGCAAGTGGCCATTTACCACATTGTTGGAAATGAGTTGAGCTCTTGCATGACGGTGTGGGTCGAACCCTATCAATGCTAATCTAATATCTAATCCAATAAAATCTATTGTTTGATAAAAAAAAAAGTACTCATTGTATCCACCTTTTAACTTTCCAAACTATTTATGCTTTTGCACATGTTTGGATCTCTAATGGAAGGAAAATAAATTTGTTGAGACTTTCCTGCCAAGTAGTAAGTTGAGTATGAGAACCGTTGTTCAGTTAAAACATATAATGTACGACAATCTTTTAGTTATAACTAGAATTTTGTATGCAAGACAAATTTTTAAATGAACGCTACTTATCTCTCAACTTGTCACGTAACATGGAAGCAAAAAAAAAAAAAAATTGTTCAAGAGCATCAAATTTAGGCCACCTTTAGTTCCTAGAATTGAACATGCCAAATTCAAAGTATGTTGAAGTAAGAAACGAACGCCTACTCTAAATTTTGTCCAAATTGAAGGGAGACTGTATTAGTTATAAGATGTTGATACAGTGATTAATCCATCTAGCTTCTTTAACTAGACATAATGTAGAAGTTGACTTTCATTTCTTATTTCAACATATTTTGAATCTAGTGAGCAATTAAATCCAATCCTAAACACCAACGTTGCCGTTATGGTGCGTTTGAACGAGGGACTTTAAAATCCATGGAACTTAGCCCAACTTTATTCGGAATGCACCACAGAAATTAGATAGAGGACTCGAAATAACTAACTGCAATACATTTGAGTGCAATGTGTCATTTGAAAGTACTTGTTTAGTGTTTTGTAGTGCATTTATAGTGTTTTAGTAATAACATTGTAGGGTTTGAATAGTTCACTGGTATTGTTCTCCTAATGCATTTTTAACAATCAAGTTTAAAGTTTCTAGAGACCTTGAAAGTTTCTCGTCCAAACATAGGGTTTAGAGATTATCCCCTTTGCTAGTTTGTTTCTAAATAACCATAACAAAGACTAAATAACCTAGAGCAAACAGCATGAATTCATGAAAGAAAAATATGTAACTCTTTAAATTCTTTACAACGAGTCATACATCGTTCTACTATAAAACACCGGCACCCAAACCCCCAGGTTGCCACCCCAACAGACGACATGTCACATACGCAAAAACATGAAAAATTTGACAATACAACAGAGACTCCTACATACGTATGTGGTATGAAGAATATGTCCACCCACCAATGCATGTGATGCGTGCATGGGAATAGGAGAGGAGAGAATCCTCCTTTATGAGAGCCCATGAAAATAAGATCATGGTCCCAAGGACTCCCCGACCGACACATGCTAGCCATAATTCTGTCCTATCTTAAGGATTCAATTTCATCCAAATGCAGAGATCCCTTGCATTTCAAGTTCCAAATGCAGAGATCCCTTGCATTTCAAGTTCTCTACAATTGAGTCACCAAAAAAAGGTAAAGAAGTACTACAATTCTGCCAACTGCTTGCCATATTAGCAAAATTTGTTATGGACAAAGAAGTTAGGATGTGATAACGTCAATCATATCAAGTTATCAGGGTTTCACTTTTATCCCAGTAAAAAAACTAAGCAAAGGTGGTAATGCAGGAAATCTAACAGAAAACCCAAATCACTAAGACACGTTTCACCCGATATTATCTTTATATCATGCAATTAGCAGTTATAAGATACTTTACCTTATTGTGTTTTCCCTTAGGCCTTTGCACGGTAAATGAATAAATTGTTGAAGCAAAAACCGGAGAGCCCCAAGAATAAATACCCACGTCCACCTTGAACAACCCTTATCAAGAATGTTTGAGTTGTCATTTCACATTGATATGGCTCCTCCCACGTAGCAATATTATAGACAAGGCATGATCTGCAACATTGGAAGCTGAAAAAGAATGGTTGCATGTGAAGCTGAGGCTTGCCGGAGTTGGTGAAAAGAAGCCAGCCCGGGATGTCCCTCCTGGTCACTTGGCTGTAGTAGTAGGGGAAGCTAGATGAAGGTTTGTTGAAAGAATGGATTTCCTGAACCACCCGGTTCTACGGCAGCTGCTAGACCAAGCATATGAAGAGTACGGTCATGGTAGCTCTGGCCCTTCAGCTATGCCATGTGACGAGTTTCTTTTTGAAGATAAACTTCACTCTCTTGGAGTTGGAACGAGCAGCAATCAATTCTCTTGCCCCCTTCATGGCTTTCTGAGAAGTTCATCAGAGATTATTGTAGCAGTGGTGGAAGCAGCAGCAACAGTTATCTGCGATTGCTATTATTTCTATTTTCCTAGAAATACCATTATGCCAAGCTAGCAGTAGACAGAAAGGTGCTGAATCAAAGAAGTGCATTAAGCATTTTAAAAGACTGTTACTGAAAATATATACATTATACTGGTGTTTTCATTTATTTACAGGTGAAGATGCAATCTCGTGTATAGGGAATAAGCAGTATGAGGTTTAACATTTATCCTTGCAAAAGTATCTGTATCTTGTACAGAAATTAGACATCAAGGCACATCATAGGATTTAATAAAAGAAAACATATTATTGCCAAAGCGCTTTTTCACCTTTCTTGAAGGGTAAAAGTTATTTTAAATACTATACTCGATGATAGTGCTTACAAACAACATGATGCTCAAAATCAGCTGTCGTTTGGAAGAATACATTTAGATACAGCAATACCCAGGTTAACTAAATTACTAATCTAGGACATGCTAATTGACTATAAGCATAAAATACTCTGATGCTAAGGGGAGTGGTAACTTTACCCTAGATTTCTGTTGTTGTATGACGATCTTTTACTTTTTAGCTCAAAGCTCGTTGGAGAATCTGAATATCTAATAGATTCCAAACGTTTTGAACCACACCACTTGATAGAGTATGATACACTTGTTTTGCTGCAGCACAATGTGCTTCTAGGACTTTGACATCACTAAACAGCTTTCTAAGAGCTTCTTCAAGTTCTAATTTTCCCCCAACCTGCAAGACCATTAACATAAAAAGCTGCAGAAATTACACAAATTTTTATTTTTTATTTTCTTATAAGCAGACAGAACAAATATTAATGAAATCACAGGTTCAGGTAGTTATTCCTAAGTTGAAATTATCCACAATCCAGACAGCCAGTAGTACCCTGCAAAGGCCGTCTTCCCACCCAAAAGAAGGCTTGGTGCAGATGTTATGACTTATTTACAGAGACTAAAAGTAGCAACTAAAGCAACAAATGAAGCTAACACGTGTCCATACATATGATTAAACTGAACGAAGCCCATTCTACCCATGCAGTACTAGATCACCTATTTGACATGTCTGCCTAAAAGCTTCACCCAAATAGCTGAACAGAGAGTACAGGTTACACGCAACATTTAATGAATTTCCTATCTACATCCGAAATTTCAATTCAAGTCCACTGAATAAAAAGGTAGATTTCTGATGTAAAAGAAAATTAAAACCAGAAAAGGATAAATAAAGAGTAATGCTATTCACAAATCACACACCCCTTTTTACTTCTCACATCTTGTTAATTTTGGTCCATTGATCTTCTTCAGTTCATTCGATCCGACGGCTGGAAATTGAGGAGGGGTGTGTGAGAGGTAAGAATAGGTGTGAGGATAGCACCACCCTAAATAAATCACTATATATTGAGTCAAATTTCTGAAAAACCAACATAATTTTGGAGGTATGAAGAGTCTCAACAAGTGATACTTTGAAGGACAGAGGATAAAGGTTCTTCACACCTGCAGAACTGACAGAGGATTTAATCGTTGCATTTCCAGTACCATGATTGAAAAATGCCCAATGTAAGGACCTGAGAAATGAAAATAAAAAAGCAGCTATCAGTGGTATGTTAAGAACCAATAACCTCTGATCTGGTAGCAGCTACTCACCAGTCAAAGTTGCACAGCCTGCTGCAGCAGCTTCTGATATGTTATGGCCAGAAAGGCTAGGAAAGAAGGAACCTCCAATTACAGCTATGGGGGATAACTTATAAAGGTGTTTCAATTCACCTATAAATCAAGCAAAGAGAAAAAACATATAATGAAGTTAGGGAGAATGCTTTTGCGGAGCCACTGTACAAGGGGTAAACTATGAGAGTATGATTTTTGCGCAAGATTTGTCTAAGAATCATGTAGGGAGAAGATTTCAAAATATGCTAACCTAATGTGTCCACCACATAGATACTGGTGTCTCCTAAGAGTTTATCACGTTGAGACCTCAATGCTACACCATGCCCTTCTTTCCACAATTTCTGCACTATTTAAGGCAATGTCATGAAATGAAACTAATAAATGTAACGTTCAATCATTCTCTTTTTTCAGGTAGTAAATCTCAATGCAGTTTTGTGCCTTTAGAAAAATCAATCATATAGATACCAATTTTTTTTTTCTGTTTAACATCAATAAAATTGAATGCATGGCATACTTGAGCAATCTCTTTTCCATGCTGTGGATGTCGAGGCACAATAATAGTTAACAAGTCAGGGTACTCTTGTCGCAGCACTTTGTGAATGCCAAGTATGACTGCATATAGTATTTGTGAGCTTTTCAACAGACAGAAATAATCTAGCAAAAGAATATTCTGATAAACGAATGCAAAAACATTTTGACAATTCTTTAGATGAATGTCGCTACTTGAAAAAATAATGGGTTAAGAAAATGGAAGGTGAAATGAACAAAGCAAAACAAAAAGAAAAAAACACTAGTTTCTAGTTGAAAATGACATTGCAAGCCAAAGAAGCGCCAAACTAGGACAAAACACAAGTCTAGCACTAGCATTCACGTAATAAAATCATCGAGCACTTATATGAAACTTTCAGAAACCAACGACTGCCAGTAATGAGGCAGCATGACATTGTATGATTCAGGTCAGGTCTCTAATAAAACTCTACATGTACATGACACAATATATGCAGTCCAGAACTTAAGGATAAGTAAGTAGCAAGAAGTAACCTTCTTCTTCCCCCTTATGTATGGAAGAAGCCATCCAAACCTTCCTGTGGGCACAGTGTACTTTTAAATCTTGCATGTTTTTGATCTCTCCCTCAGAAATGTCAAATTCTCCAACCACTGAACATTACAAGAAAAAATAAATAAATTCTAAGATTAGGATAGATTATCACCTTCTTCAAGAGTTTCTATAATTTATAGTTATGAAACAATACCAGATTCAAAACACAACATTTAGACTTTCCAATTGACTTCCAAAAGGATATATACAAGTTTTCATTGTGAGACGTACCATACTTCAAGTCACCAGAAAAGTTGATCACAAAAGGCGGGGCATGCAGCAGCTGAAAGTGGATGGCCTGCATATTGCTCTATGGCGTGCAAGAAAAAGAGTGAGAAGACAATTGAAGACACAGATTACTCAATGCAATCTGTAGCGGCACTTACCAATGGGGAAATCAATGAAAACTTTGATAGCATCAATGAAATAAGTGGAAGAAGCACTGGTCCTGACCAACGTTTAAAGGATTTAGTAGATACTCGAGCATTTAACAATGCCAGCATGATCTGAAAAAATATGAATCATATAAATGATCTAAAACCAACTGCACTTTACGTATTCAAGTTATAGTTAGCCAAGCTAAGCAATAATTTGGATGCAAATAAAATTAAACAATGGAAAATATTTTCTAATTTAGAGTAAACCTAAAAAAATTAACTGAGCTACACTTGTAAGTACTAATTGGGTGTTATTACCATCATTATTATTCAAAAAATACGCTCACATAATTTAGTATATTCACAACAAGATAAGATAACTTACACCCTTTTCTGAAGCAGCCATAATTAAATTTGGCCATAGTTCACTCTCCATAAGCACAATCACATTAGGCTTCCAGTAACCAAGGAATGAGTCCACAGCAGAAGGTGTATCGACGGGCGAAAACTTGATCAATTGAAAGTTGAGTGTGTCACAATCAGAAATATGCCATCGTTACTTTCAGTTAAGACATAGAGAACAATAGTAATATTCATCGTTACCATAAGGACACCGATAGATGAAACCAAGCATTGTTTCCAAATTCCCATGTATTATATAAGCTAGTAACATATCTATCTCTATACTCTATACAACATATACATGTATTCAATTTGTTAACCATTCCAGCAGCATTGTATTAAAATTGTAGGTAGAAGTTAGGCGTTATGACCCCGAATATAGCGTTACATCTAATGATTGAATTGATCAGAAAAAAATATCGAATTTTTGAATGCTGCGAAAGTCACGAGTTTCGCAAAAGACAAACATATGTTTATTAAAAGAGTACCTGATGTAAGACACCAGTTGGAAGAAGTTTCTCTATTACTCCACTGCAAATGTAGTGAAATGAAAAATTATAAATAAATTCAGAATTACACGTTAAATGGGGAGATGGGTTTTGTTCTTACAACGCAGATGACGTCGTAGTGGTCATCAGAATAGTTAAATCAGGCCTCCGCTGAATGCATTGCTTGATTACAGGAATCGCAGCCATTCCTTCACCTGGGTCCAGTTTTTAATTACGCCACAATAATTAATCACAATTAAAGATTGATTAAGCTCAATATCTCTATGTTATTTTCCCTCCACCTTCCCGGTAACCAAACAGGGGGAACGGAGATGAAATTAACTGAAGGAATGACATGGATTGGATTGGATAGGATAGGAGGAAACCTAATGAGACGGCGTGGAACCAGATGAGTGGGCCTTCGGGCCGAGGGAGGGAAGGTCGGCCCAGACGCTCAGGCCATCGCAGTGGGTGCTCGAGGCCTCGGAGTTTCCGCCAGTGGAGGTGAAGGTACAGCAATGGTGATAGACCATGGGTCAGCGCTCTGTATACATTGTAGACTGCCTTGCTCTTCGTTGCCGCCATTTCTTTCTCTTCTGTAATTTTCTTTCACCGAGCAGAATTGCAGAGTACATACGGACTTGGTTCGTGGGCCAGACCCAGAAGTTTTTCGTTTTGGGGCAGCACTTTGTCATTGGGCATGTACAAAGGCCCAATTTTGTATAATCTTCTGGACAATACTAGCCGAACACCATTACATTGTTAAGAACGCGATTTCTAAGGTGAGGACAGAGATTTGCGGACGGTGAGTGTGGATAGAATGTGGACCGTAGGATTAAATTTGAACGCTTGAAAAAGAATCCATTAGAAAGGGCTTAGTGTAAAATCGGGTTAAAAAAGATCCATGAGTTAATGAAAACAGTATATGCAAGAATTCAAAATAAAGGGAACTAAACTCTCCCCCTCCCTCCCCATGAAAGCAACAGTTGAAACCATAAAATTTTCTTCTCCTTGCAGAAATCTCCTTCTTATCCTGACGTCGTGCTCATTCAAAACCTTGGTAGCGTTTGAAACCCAGTCAGAGTATTGTTGTGATTGTTGTCTCTGGCCTCAGTGCACTTCGACATTCAAGCATCTTTGGTTTGAGGGTTAGCAGTTGCTTACACGGAAAAAAAATTCCGGTGGTTCCTTGATTGGAGTGGGTTCAGAGTCATTGTTTTCGTGAAAGTCGACGACAAACTTGATTCTGGAAACTAAATTTGAAATTTGCAACCCTAGAAAATAATTTCATTATATATGTAAAATTATGTACTTCTTTTAGTGTTTATGGTTAATTATGCAAGTGGGTTGATGAAATTAGTTGCTGTGGAAGTATATATTTGGTGAGATGTAGGTTTATGAACTGTGGTTGACAGGTTGTGTACATGATATATGTGCTTCAATTTGTTTTGTTGAATTTATATTGTTGAGTTGTGAATGATTTTTATCGATGAATCTTTGTTAATTTTATGAATTGATTTGGTATTTCTTAACTCATGAAAGTATGTTCATAGTAGATGTATAGCTATGAGAACTTGTTGACAGGTTGTGTCAATGATAAACATTGTCATATTTGGTTGTTCTCAGAGTATATGTTGTTCAATTGGGTTGTCATGAATGCTTGTATTATTATGTGTACAGGAGATGGCAAATCAGGTGGTTGAACTTGCAACAAAAAAGGAAGAATCATATAGGGGAAGGGTTAACAACCTTTCTCAAGCTAGTCATGTCCTAGGAGTCTTGCGTCACAAGTTTAATGATGCGCATCTTGCTAATTTTAGGGCCTCATACTTTGGACACTTAGACAATGTCGATAAATTAACCTTTAGTGGGCAGTTGATGCATGAATTGTCGATTCGTAGAGTGGCAAATTAGGGGGTGAAAGACCTAAAGGGACTCACATATTTAATAAGCTGTGAGGTCACCGGGTTCACAAAGAAGGACTTTTGCCTCATTACAGGGCTCCATTGTAACGAACCCTATGATCTAGACGTTGAGCCTTCCAACATTAGGTTGTTGCTTATGTATTTTCCTCAAAAGTTTGGTTTTGTTGGAGAGAGTAGCAAGGGTAAGGGTAAGGGTGTGAAGGGCAAAGGTAAAGTGAAGATCGCCCTCAAGAAAGCAACCAAAAAGGTTTTAGTGACATGTGTCGATCTTGAAATGGTGTTTAAAGAATATGTGGATGAGGATGATGTGTTGAAGATGAGGCTGGTTTACTTCGCCGAGAGTGTGTTGATAGGAGCATATTTATGTGACTTAGTTAGCTTGTTTCTTGGCATTTATGCTATTTCATAGTTATTTTAGTATTTTAAGCTATTTTCGTGTGTTTGTAGGTCTAAAGGGCTAAAGTAGTAAGAAAGTGCATTTTGGAGCAGTTTTGGGCTTGGAATGGATAGCACATGCATGGAGCAAGGTGGATGGACGAATTTGAAGACCAAAATAGGCTAGGATTATGCTGAAGTTATGAAGAAATTAATTCAAGAAAAGAAAGTACAGGATGCAAGCAAGAAAGAATGAATGTTAGCCAAAGTTACCTTATTTTGTCCTAAACTTTCCTAATCCTTCACTACTTAATTTCTAGTTGCAAAGAGGATCTTTAATTAAATTAGGAGACTTAAATTCAAACCTAATTACATTCCTAAAATCCCTTGCCACACAAGCAAACCTATTCCCCTTTATTTCTAGCCTTGCCGCACCAAATCTATAAGGAATCCTTCATTGCCGTGCAAGGAAGTCACATTCCCCTTTATTTCTAGGCTTGCCGCACCTCCCTTACCCTTTTCCTCTTGGGATTATGATTTGTTACCCTTTTCTTGGGGGATTTGGAGTCTTTAACTCTTCCCAAAATTAATTCCCAGCCATGCCTTTTCCTTCCCTTATAAATAAAGGTCTTTGCCGCACCATTCATGATCATCCCATCAATCCAACCTTTACCATAACTCACCTACATCCATCCACCACCACAATTCACCACTCATCCATCATCACAACCCTTGTGCCGCAGCAAAGAAGAAGAAGGAGGACCCTTGGATGTGCTTGCCATTCAAGCTTGGATTGCTGGAATGTTTTTAGGTGTAATCCATCCTTTGTTTTTAATGTTTAAGTTTAATTATCTTTGTTTTGCGAACATGAGGAGCTAAACTTCTTTTAGTTAGAGGAGAATTCAAAGCCATGAACATATTTGTAATATGAATTGATTACTTTTAGTTGTGATTTCATAAATCATGAATGCAATTTACTTAACTGTTTGATTCAGAACTTATTCTTGTATGTTGATTAAGAGGGCCTGCTTAGTTTGCATGTATGAATTTGATGCTAGAATATAAGGGAATTTCATCTAATCGTTATGAACTTATATTCATAAGTAATGGAGGTTGCTAGTCACAATTGTGTTAAGTAGATTTCTGGCAGGAGTATCATGCTGTTCATAGTTACGAATGCCTTGTCAATGCTTATGATTTTCACAAAGCTTAATGATCTTTGATTGTATCTCTATTATGTTGTTCATGTAGGGGACTATTGAAGAATAATTTGGTTGCCGATGCGTTGTCCATTTAATTAGTGCTGTTCATGGTTAATCTGGGGCGTTGAGGTTCATGGTTTATTGGAAAAGCAACTGGAAATCGTTTTGTATGCAAGTGTGTCATGTGTGGAGAATGACTCTTTAGCTAGCTTATCACCCATCCATTTACCCCAATTTCATCCAAACTTTGTTTAAGTTTACAATCTGCTTGTTTTTACTTTAATTTGGTCCAAAACACAATCCCCCTTTACTTGGTCGTGTCTTTTAGTTAGAATTTGTCCCATTTTGTGTCTTTTAGTATTTTGAGTCAAGTTAAAGTTAGAATTCGTTCAAAGTAATCCCTAGTGTCTAGTTTGAGTCAGTTTCATTGTTTTGTGCTGTTTTGAGTCATTCTAGTTTGTTTTGAGTCTTTAAAGTCTAGTTAAGTGTTTTCAGCCTAGTTTATGTTTTTAAGTCAGTTTTAAGTAGATTAGCAATCCCTTCTAATCCCTGACCTAGAACGATCCCTACTTACAACTTTACTACAATTGTCAATAAGAGGGTTTAATTTGTGTGTTAGTTAATTTTCACATTATGTGTTGATAGGGGCAAAGAGTAATGTGGGTGTGAACCTAGAGTACTTGGACCTCGTAGAGGACATGGATAAGTTCAACACTTATTCATGGGGTGTGGTATCGTTCGAATAACTACATGGTAGCCTCTGTTTTGCTGCTGCTAGGAGAGGGAGAGGAAGATGGGATGGTGATGCGGAATGAGATGAGGAAGATGAAGAGGAACAACCGATGGGAAGTAAGAGGAGGCAGAGATTTAGATGGTGCTACTAAGAGTTTAGTTATTCCTTTCAGGTACAATTTGTTGGTTTGATTGAGTACTAATAAGGGTCAAGTTGTTGTGATTGTGATGAACACTAATTCAGTGTACGTGCAGGTATGGGCATATGAAAAAATTGCGCAACTGGAGAAGCCACTATGCTATTGCAAGATGACTGATCCTGCAACCATCCCAAGAATTCCTCGATGGTCAACAAATAATAAGTAGCCGATCAATGAACATGTCTAGATGTACATAACTGAGAGCCGAGAGGTGTGACCTTATTTCAAAATTGTCGACAAAGAAGGGGTTTTTAACAACTTCACCAAACGACATAGTTAGTTTAGAGTGTATGACCTCGGTGCTCTTGGGATTCCCGAACACCTATTTATGTTCATGGGCCTGTGATGAGTACGTGTTTTTTGGAACATAAATGTTTGTACAATGTCTTCATAATTAGATGTAGGAATGGGATGAGTACATGTTTTTTGGAACACAAATGTTTGTAGAATGTCTTCCAAATTGGATGTGGGAGTGGGATGAGTACACATTTTTTGGAACACAAATGTTTGTAGTATGTCTTCAATAGTGGATGTGGGAGTGGGATGAGTACATATTTTTTTGGAACATGAATGTTTGTACACTTTCTTCAACATTGGATGTGGGAATGGTCACATATTTCTGTGTAGTACTAATTTTTTGTCTCACTTTTGTGTTTGAAAAGTTATTTTCTGCTACTTGAAGGACCAAAGTGACAAGATTGCGTGAGGGCAGACAATGGTATTCATAAGTGCTCTTAAACACACAAGTATACAAAACAATCAATTTTTTTGCCCTATTAAATGTGACAGTATACGAACTCAACATTTTGTAGCCATTACGACACATTCTTAATGTCGTTACAGTAAAACGTTTATGATTTGGAAGGATTTTTTAAGAACAAGAAGTTGGAAACTTAGTTCCTGACAGCTGAACACCACTGTTCACAAGCCATCATATACTGATAATAGGCAGTCATGAATCAACCAATTTCATCCAATATTTGTTGGTCTCACATTCAATGACATCTAAATTGATTATCTATAAATGGAAAGCAAGAACAAATCATTAGACAACATTTGGTTTGTCCACGATACATTCTTAATGTAGTTACACAAAAAAAAAAAGGTAAGCAATTGGAAAGAGTATTGCTGACAAACTAGTTATAAACAGACAATTTGTTTCCATCCTTTTGTGGCTTGCTATG